ATATATACATTCAATGTAAAAATACTAGATGGCCACCTGTTGGCCATATTGTTTGTTTGATCAGTCGCAATAGTAAACACGCACAACTAGGGACCTCGGGGAACCTACTCATTATATATTTGAAAAAGATCCCGCCAGTACCTCCTGAGTAATATCTATATCTCATTGATCAATACAATAAGGGAACGCTATTTAATGTATATCAATGCTTGTCCAAGAAGTCAACCTGCTGTTGGCATTCTAGATTATTCATATTTACCACCAACATAATAAGGTACATCTTACTAAAATAATTATGCTTGGTCTTCGAGGATTAAACAAACGTATAGACGGTTCAGTCAAAACAAAACAAAAACATCTCAATCATTAAAATTTCAGTGTTCGCAACAGCTGTCTGCGTATGCATACCGTAGGCATACACAACAGCCACATTGTGAATAATCCGCCGTGTGTGACAAAGTGAATACTGGCCAATACTATGACATATCTACCTTTCCTGTTACCGAAATGTGCTTATACATTTGACTATCTCACTGCATCCGATCATTATATCCGATTTTTGACGCATTTTGTACATGTGTTTGCGTTCTAGGCGTGGTTATAATCGAGACAAGGACGTAATCTCCCGGTCAATAAAACGATCAATACTTGCATAAATTATAGCTGGCGGACTCTGAGCTTAAAAAAATATAAGTGTGCAAGCTGGATATATGACTACACATCTCTACACTGCTTATACAGAAACAGTAAGTATAAGACTTACTTAGTACATGTGCATCCGAGAACTATATCCATAACAGCAAGCGATATTTGACGCACGATATACAATTGCTTGTTATCTTTGTCCTAGGCGAGGTAACAGTCGGAACAAGTCCTCTAATAGCTTAAATACATGTTACAGATACACGTGTACAGGTACACTAGTACAGACACACGTGTACAGGTACACTAGTACAGACACGTGTACAGGTATACTAGTACAGACACACGTGTACAGGTACACTAGTACATACACGTGTACAGGTACACTAGTATAGACACGTATACAGGTACACTAGTACAGACACACGTGTACAGACACACGTATACAGGTACACTAGTACAGACACACGTGTACAGGTCCACTAGTACAGACACGTGTACAGGTACACTAGTAAAGACACACGTGTACAGGTACACTAGTACAGACACGTATACAGGTACACTAGTAAAGACACACGTGTACAGGTACACTAGTACAGACACACATGTAGAGGTACACTAGTACAGACACGTGTACAGGTACACTTGTACAGACACACGTGCACATGTACACTAGTACAGGTACACTAGTACAGACACGTGTTCAGACACACGTGTACATGTACACTAATACAGACACACATGTACAGGTACACGAGTACAGACACGTGTACAGGTACACTAGTACAGACACCCGTGTACAGGTACACGTGTACAGACACACGTGTACAGGTACCCGTGTACAGACACACGTGTACATACCCACGTGTACAGGTACACTAGTACAGACATACGTGTACATGTACACTAGTACAGACACACGTGTACCGACACACGTGTACAGGTACACTAGTACAGACACACATGTAGAGGTACACTAGTACAGACACGTGTACAGGTACAATAGTACAGACACACGTGTACAGGTACACTAGTACGGACACCTGTACAGGTACACTAGTACAGACACACGTGTACAGGTCCACTAGTACAGACACGTGTACAGGTACACTAGTGCAGACACACGTGTACAGGTACACTAGTACAGACCCGTGTACAGGTACACTAGTACAGACACGTGTACAGGCACACTAGTACAGACACACGTGTACAGGTACACTAGTACATACACGTGTACAGGTACACTAGTATAGACACGTATACAGGTACACTAGTACAGACACACGTGTACAGCTACACTAGTACACACACCTATACAGGTACACTAGTAAAGACACACGTGTACAGGTACACTAGAACAGACACACGTGTACAGGTACACTAGTACAGACCCGTGTACAGGTACACTAGTACAGACACACGTGTACAGGTACACTAGTACATACACGTGTACAGGTACACTAGTACAGACACACGTGGACAGGTACACTAGTACAGACACGTGTACAGGTATACTAGTACAGACACACGTGTACAGGTACACTAGTACGGACACGTGTACAGGTACACTAGTACAGACACACGTGGACAGGTACACTAGTACAGACACGTGTACAGGTACACTTGTACAGACACACGTGCACATGTACACTAGTACAGGTACACTAGTACAGACACGTGTTCAGACACACGTGTACATGTACACTAGTACAGACACACGTGTACAGGTGCACTAGTACAGACACACGTGTACAGGTACATGTGTACAGGTACACGAGTACGAATAGGGTTTATGACTACACATTCAACAAAATTTTTGATCATAAATAGACAAAGGCTCTCACAAATGTGTCCTGTTATGGTCGACATTTTTATTCGCGATTACTGTATATCCTATATTGAATGCTTTTACAACAACAAATGTCTTTAAAATAGATAAACGGAAGGGTTTTGATGTATGTACTTATGAGTGTGATATAACTGCTTATCTATGACACTGCTTAACACATACATATGTAGGACGAGACGATTATTATTATTATAGGATTCTTAACGGCCCTATAACACAAAAGAAGTCATTATGACCAATGAAAAGTAGATAAAATAAGGTAAAGCAAATTACATCAAACCAACGAAAAGTGAGACAAACGTCAGTTCGAAAAGTAAAGGTGGATATGGTTAGATATATATTTTTGAACAGACAAGCAGTTTTTAAGCAGGTTATAATTGTAACTGTTTAAAAAAGAGATTTGAGATCTGTTATATTATTATAAAAATAATGTTCTTGTTGGCTGAAGGCTAAAGGTCAATGCAGTCTAATAACAAGTGTTTTACAGTAAATAGTTCGCTGCATGCTATGTATTGAGTCCGTTCTTCGCTTTTCAAGCTGAAGGCTAAAGGTCAATGCAGTCTTAATAACAAGTGTTTTACAGTAAATAGTTCGCTGCATGCTATGTATTGAGTCCGTTCTTCGCTTTTCAATAAATAGGAATGGGTATTGTATGCCCTCCGGTGACGGGCAAGGACAGCTTTGTCTCGGCAGTTTTCTATATAGCTGCGATACCATTCACCGATTTCAAGTTTTACATAATGTAAATTGATGTCTACGCTTTGATTAAAATTATTTTGTTACTTTGATCNGGGGGGGAGGCGACCCAGAATGATATAATTTTACATTCAGAGGTAATACTATTATAGTATTGATATTTTATTAATTGAAATATTCCTCAATTTTTTGTTACGAACACTCTGTAGAATAGATAGGGAATCAGAGTAGATAATTTATTCCGGTACATCATTTGATTTGATGTTTATGGATTCGGATTAATCCTTGTGTCATCTAAAGATCAAGTAATGGTTAAATAAGATGGAAGGCATAATTAAGAAATGATTTGTGATATTTTCATGTATACAGGGAGGAGTAAACATCATCAGACTATGTTGGTGTATTTGCCTCCTTGCTGTAGTGCAGATCTGATGCCGAGTTTATTGTGCTACCTAACTGAAATACTATGCACCCAGCACAGCATTCTACCCGATCACATTTTACTGACAACGGGATATCCAGTTGTTGTTATTACCCTAAATGCTGAACGTTCAGGAGGGAATAACAACTGATTATTCAGTACTTTGGTACGATTAACTTCACGTGATTAAACAAACTCCCCGACCCGACCTCCGATAAGTATACGGTCGCACTGACTTGGGATTCCGGCTTGTTGTTGATATTTTTGCTAGCGTCATTATCAAGGTAATTTATCAGACCTGCCACATCACACAAAACGTAATTCATTCCTTATAACCATCAAAGACCCACTTAAAAGAATTCTAGATTGAACCATTATTTTTGTTTACTGCATGTAGGAAGCGCTGTCAAATAACTAATTACATTTTCATAAATCAATGCGTTTAGCCTTCATTCCTGAATGCATGTATTTAAAAAATAAGAACACGGTCGCACTGACTTGAGATTCCGCTTTGTTGTTGATATTTTTTGCCAGTGTCAATATCAAGGTAATTTATTAGACCTGCCACAAATCACAATTAAAACTAACGGTGACGTCCCTATTATTGAAGGTTACGAATTCGATTGCTCCAGGTAAACGTCCTTGTCCAAAAAATGCTTTTAGGCGTTATCCATTCATAACATATTCATAGGAGAGGTCTGAATCAAATGTTATTGTATTTGTTTCAATATTATGTGTAATTAACAGGATATCATAACGTCTTTTTTATTAGACTTCAGGACACATCAGCAACAGTTAGAATTCAGTTCGGGCGGACACTGCTGTTTCGTGGATAGCAACTTGAATTCCTATTTACTAGCTTCAAACATATGACAGGTAAGCAATCAGCCTCACTACAATGCTACTACGATAGGTAACTTGAATGGCATTTCACACCCCTTATGTTTATCAAGCTCATCAGGCAGACGATCGAAAATCTGATTTTATCTTGCGTAGTGACCTCAATGTTCACTTGCTCCTTGACGGTTTTACAACCCAGGTTTAAATAAATCAACAGTGTTTTAACGTCATATTTAAACAACACTTCAACGTTGAGAATAGGAACCTGATTCAATCTTATCAACATCACGACCAAATAATCTCATTTTGACGTTGATTGTAGAGGTTTCGCCTTCTAATGTTTACTGCTACATAATTATTATATAGGTACCCCTACAATTGTTTCCCACTGTCGATAGGTGAGTATCATATAGAATGTTCCTGTTTAAAGATTGTACATGAAACCTTTATGTATTAAATACATATTGTCAGTTATCGTAATATTTGAATCTATATTCGTGTGGCCACTCTAGCGTGCTGTTCATCATCCAATCTGCGAGAAATTACCCTCTTTTAACAGGGAGCCGCCATGTTTTGCACACTTTTAACTTCAAGACTAGTACTTTAAAAAGATTTCTTATAAGCATGAGAACTTCCAAATACAAAAAAAAGGTTCATTAAGGGAAATGACACTTAACATCTATCAGTAAATATCATAACTCTGTAAAATTAACATTAACTAAATGCTATGATCGGGCGCTTTAACCATAAATTACCATAAGTTATATATCTTTTATTATTATATAATATAAGGCTTCTGCAGTGCAATAAAGGGGTGCAATAAAATTGATATTGAACGTGTGCAATAAAGATGCAAATGAGCGCGCGACACCGTGGGAACTAGGTCGTATTCCTACGCACTACTACTACTACTACTATAGTATAGGCCTACTACAACATGGCTGACGTAAACATTGGGGATTCTGTTCGAATTGACGGCAAAGGTAGGGGCACAGTACAAGAACTTGTTCCAATGGGATTTGCAACATTTTATAGAGTTTTAATCGAGGGAAGTGATATTGAGGTTGACTTGCCAGGTGATCGGTTAGAGCCAATACCCCAGACTATGACTCAGTCGT